CACCCAGTTTGATGTATTTTCAATCAATCTATCAATCTATCATCTATCTATCTATCATCTTTGTATCTACTTATCTATATAGTTATCTATGTATCTATCATCTGTCTATTTATCATCTATCTACTATCTATCTATATCTATCATCTATCTATCATCTATCTATCTATATCTATCATCTATCTATCATTTATCTATCTATCATCTATCTATCTAAATCATCTATCTACCTACCTGTCTATGATCTATCTATTTATCTATCATCATCATCATCTATCTGTCTATCATCTATCTAAGCTCAAATGTAAAATATACCCCAAGGCTTAAGTGTTTGAACACTTGGTCTCCAGCTTGTGACGTTGTAAACCCTTTAGAAGGTAGAGACTTGCTAGAGAAAATGGCTCACTGGGGGTGGTCCCTAGGGTTTTATAGCCTGACCTCACTTCCTATTCATTCACTCCTTCTTGATTGCAGTGGCAATGTGTGCAACAGCATCACTTCTTGCCCTTTGCCTTCCCTGCCGTGAAGAACTATATCCCCTCAAACTAAGTCAAAATAAATCCTTCCTTCTCCAATTTGCTTCTTGCCAGGTACTCGGTTACAGGAATGAGAAAAATATCCAAAGAGTAGGTTACCTTTTTCACATGGTTCATCATGTTAGAAGCTAAGATAGAAAATTTAAAAAACAGGATTTCTGTATCAGTTTAGTAAAAGTAGCAAAAACTAAACCTATTCCACAGGAATAGAAGTATTTATTTTGTTTGTTTTGAGGAAAATAATCACTATTTCTCCTGCACCAGCAAGTATATCTTTAGTAAGAAAAGAGGCACTATGGTACATTCTTTTTAATTGCATGATTTAGAAGTAGACAGTTGGATGCTCATATCTGTTTATGTCTCAACCAGACAAAACATATTTGGTTGAAGTATATGAAAAAAACTGAAGGATATATGCATCTCTTAGATGTGTGACTGCGATGGGAAGAGAATTTTCATGGCTTCCAAAAATTATTGTGGATATTTTTCTTTGGTACTA